TTCAATCATGCAGATTTCATATAAAATGATAGCATGGGTTTCTAAGTGGGTAAGCAACAAAATAGATATATCAGGGCTCATCATTTAGTCACTTTCAAAGGTACCTAGATTTAATATAAACTTACCTAATACTTTCTAGGAAAAAGAGGGAGTATGTTTTACCACAGTCCATTTGACTAAAATACATCTACAGGTACTTTACAGTGTCAGGATAAAGACAACTTATTACCAAGTCTTTCTGGCATTTTAATTCAGGAACTCCCTTTGGATGGGGGCCCAGAACAGTCTTAACTAAATCCTGCACTGTTCATTATTTGTTAGCATTATAGAAAGATTCAAGTATACTTAAGCTTTGAACTGAGGTAACAGGATTCACAAAATTAATAATTAAAAAGCTAAATTCCAAGTTTTTCCAGGTAGTATGAAAATAATCAGAAAAAAATGCCCTCACCTAACTACCAAGTAAGTATTAAGAATAAGCACACGGTTAAGTCCCTCTCAAGAGGCACAGGAAAACGATAATGTTCCCCTCTGAGACAGACCTAAAACATCACTAACATTCAATATTCAATAAAACGTTAAAACATTTCATTAATGAAAACTGAGAATAAGAATATAGCAGATCAAAACCAATACGCATTTTTTTTTTTTTTTTTTGAGATAGAGTCTTGCTTTTGCTGCCCAGGCTGCAGTGCACTGGTGCAATCTCAGCTCACTTTAACCTCCATCTCCCAGATTCAAGCGATTCTCCTACCTCAGCCTCTTCAGTAGCTGGGATTACAGGCTCCCACCACCACAACCGACTAATTTTTGTACTTTTAGTAGAGACAGAGTTTTGCCATGTTGGCCAGGCTAGTCACGAACTCCTGACCTCAGGTGATCCGCCCACTTCGGTCTCCCAAAGTGCTGGAATTACAGGCGTATGCCACCTCGCCCAGCCACCAATATGCATTTTTAATTGTGAAAAAATCTTATAAAACCTTAACAATATATCTCAGACTCATCTTAAAGCAGGTGAGGAACCTAAATAAACTCTTTCATGATTTTAAAAAAGACCACTGGGGCTTAAAAACATAATAGCAGGGGGCCGGGCGCGGTGGCTCAAGCCTGTAATCCCAGCACTTTGGGAGGCCGAGGCTGGTGGATCACGAGGTAGAGAGTTCGAGACCATCCTGGTTGACATGGTGAAACCCCGTCTCTACTAAAAATACAAAAAATCAGCTGGGCATGGTGGTGTGTGCCTGTAATCCCAGCTACTCAGGAGGCCGAGGCAGGAGAATTGCCTGAACCCAGGAGGCAGAGGTTGCGGTGAGCCGAGATCGTGCCATTGCACTCCAGCCTGGGTAACAAGAGCGAAACTCCGTCTCAAAAAAAAAAAATAATAATAATAATAATAGCAGCCTATCCCAGAAAATAATGTGAGAAATTAGTTGAGGTATTTAAATAAACGTTTTTTTAATTAAAACGCTCACAATCTACAGGCAAATGAGCACAGCTGCAATATGCCATGTTAGTATCATTCTTAATCACTGTATTAATTACATCTGAGGAAAAAGAAATGCTTTCTAAATCATTCTAAACGCTCTTACAAAAAAATGAACGACCCTCTCCCCAACAGACACACATACCTTGATGAAGAAAACACCAACATTTCAAATATTCCAGCAATTATAAAACAAAATAATCGTGACATTTATTTAGTCTCAAAACATTATGAACTACTCCAAGGAAGGAATACTTTGAAAACACTTACTAGTATTTTTAAGGTACAAAAAAAAAACCCCACTAAGCGTTCTCATTTCTTAGAAAAATATATTTTAAGCTGTCGAAGCTGATGATTGTCAAGAATTCTGATGATAAGCTTACAAAAAAAAAAAAAAAAAAAAAAAAGCCAAACCCTTTTTACTTAACACATCAAACCTGGCTTACATTGCTCTTTATCATCACTATTACTATTTAAAATTATGTTTCTCTTCAACACCTGACTATCAGTAGCACACTGTCAACTAACTCTTCCTCCCAGAAATATACATTTAAAGAAAACTTAAATGTACATTTAAATATACATTTAAACAGAAAGTATCACAACTAAATTTTGAAGGATTATTTTCCTTATTATTCCTAGAAATAACAATAAAAAGCGAATAACGCACTTTGGGAGGCCGAAGGAGGCAGATAACTTGAGACCAGAAGTTCGAGACCTATTTGGTCAGCATGGAGAAATACCCTCTCTACTGAAAATACAAAAAATAGGGCGTGGTGGTGCATGTCTTTAATCCTAGCTACATGGGAGGCTGAGGCATGAGAACAGCTTGAGCTCCAACGGCGGAGGTTGCAGTTACCTTAGATTTTGCCTGGGTGACAGAGCGGACTTCATCTCAAAAAAAAAAAAAAAAAAAAAAAAGCTAATAGCCAGGAAGTTCAAAATCTGAAAATTCTATTTGAATGCACACATTACCTTTAACAACGTATTAAGTATTATAAGCATTAACAAAGGGTCCACTTAAATTCCTAAGCTAAATGTAAAAAAAAAAAAAAAATCTACATTATTTCATAATGATCAAGACTGACTTTGGAGCACATTAGTCTGATTCCTGAGTAAATAAAGTATTACTGCTTTTTAAACATATATAAATACATTAAAATAGGCAATGCAACCTTATATTCAGAATAAATGCAAAACTGCAAATCTCATCCTCTTTTTAGTCAGCAGTTTTATCACTGTTGCAATACTCAAGGATAAGTCCACATATGGAACCACAAATTATTACTAATAACCCTGCCCTTTTCAGCACTATCAAGTTTCTACATTACATTTATTTGTAAATGGTGAACACAGGACAAAATAAAATTCCTGAAATGGAGCTTTTTTTTTTTTTTTTTTTGAGACGGAGTTTCGCTCTTGTTACCCAGGCTGGAGTGCAATGGCGTGATCTCGGCTCACCGCAACCTCCGCTTCCTGGGTTCAGGCAATTCTCCTGCCTCAGCCTCCTGAGTAGCTGGGATTACAGGCACGCACCACCATGCCCAGCTAATTTTTTGTATTTTTGGTAGAGACGGGGTTTCACCATGTTGACCAGGATGGTCTCGATCTCTTGACCTCGTGATCCACCCGCCTCGGCCTCCCAAAGTGCTGGGATTACAGGCGTGAGCCACCGCGCCCGGCCTGGAGCTTTATTTTAAAACATTTCTTATAGAAAGGAATCCACTATTTATTTTCAGGAATTTTTAAAAATAGTATGTGTTATTGCAAAGATTATTTACAGAAAACAGAATCAGAAGGACGTTCTCCTTCAATAAATACACCATACCAAAGTCTAACAGGGGCAAGGGAGAGAATAAAAATACTAGTTTATTAAATATCTTCCTCCTTTCGTTTTAAAAAGTAGACAGATTCTATTAAACTGACAATATAAAAGCTTAATCCAATAATCTTAGCTGTACAAAGTTACTTATTAACCTTTAAAGACAGTTATGAATTTACACTTCCTGCAGTTCACCTGCCATCCTTCCCAACTTAAATAGCCACTAGGGGTTTAAGACAGTTCTAACTTGCGGCATCAATAGTAAGGAAAGAACTTTACATTCAAGTTTAAGAAAAGGCTAATTGGGGATTTTGCTTGTGCCCAGAAACAGTATGCAACACAGGTCTCAGCACATAACAGGTGCTTAATGAGTATCTGTTGAGCAAATGGTGACATTATATTAATGCAACATCAATTTTTCTCCCTAAATTTAGAGTTCTCCCTCGCTAAAAAAGCAGCAAGACCATACCGCAATCCCTTCTCAAAAACATATTAACTTCTTTATTCATAATGAACAGAAAGCTGGATGTCAAATACAATCTGACTATCTCTTTATCTTCTCCATTATTTTTAAAGATTAAAAATAAGGCCTGTTTTTAAGAAACAGAAAATGTATACCGACTTCTCTCAAATCGAAAAAGAAAATCCACATTTGATATATATTTTCTATGTTCATAGTATTGAGAGTAAAAACCGACTGTTCATCAACAGTATGTTATGTAGGCTGAAAACCAAAAACAAACGTGCATCAAAAATACATGTTTAACGATATTCTTTCCTTAATCAGTCAAGAGGGTATATGTGCCTAAATTTTACTAGATTTGAGATAAGCTTTGTCTGATGCTAAAACGTTCATTCATTCAACAAATACTTTACTGAGCACGTACCAGAAGCCGCCCTTCAACAAACCATTTAAAATTTGTAAACTGCACATCACCCCCCAAAATTCCCCTTTAAAAGCTCATCATTTAAAATAACTGCAAGCTAAAGAGGAATCCCCAATGTTGTCTCACACAGTGAAGTCAGCGGATCCGGGCTCTTTTTCAGCTGTTAATGCCGCATCAGGGAGCCGCTACCTACCACACCCGTGCCTAAAATCGCAACTGAAGCAGCAAGCGCAGGGTAAAACAACCTGTAAGAGTAGCTCAGCTCCCGCGACTAGGTGGCCAAGGGGTTTCACGCCCGGGGCTCGGGGCGAACCGCGGCAGAACCAGAGCGCGGAACGCGTCGGGCGCCTCAGCCGCGAGTCTGGGCTCGGGAGCCAGGTGTCCCTGCTCCCTGAAACCTTCGCCTAGAGACCCCGGGCCCTCCCCGCCCGCCCCTCGCACCACCCTCCCGACTTCCAGACCTGAAAAGTTGGGGGGAGGGGGTCTGTCTTTTCATTTCACATCAGGCGGTCAGCTGGCTGCCTCAGCAGTCCGCCTGCGGTGAATTGTGAACTGAGTGTGTAACCATTCCTCAGAGGCAAGGGAAGAAAAACCAAAGGCAGCGTCCTAGGGCATGAGGACCTCGCCCAGACCTGAAAATGGAGCCGCAGGCTCTGCCCACAGCCCGCCGCGCGCGGCTGGCAGAGCCGGGCCGCGCTCACCCCAGAGCCCTCAGGGACGAGGGTTCGGGGCTTCGGGACCCCGCCCAAGGGGCCGAGAGGGCGAGGCACGGGGGCCGACGCGCGACTGGGGCCGGCACTGCACTCACCGTCGTCTTTGTCTCCGCCGCCCGCTGCGGCCGCAGCCCCTCTCAGCGCCGGCTCCGCGGGTCCTGCCGCCCCCACGCCTGCAGCTGCGCTCCCCGGCGCGCTCGCAGCTTCCTGGCTCCCCCTCCCCGCCCAGGCTCGCGCGCGGGGTAGGCGGAGCGAGAAGCGGCGCGCGCCCCCAAAGCGGCCGTAGGGCCGGGTGCCGTTGCGCAGCTGCAGCAGCCGCCGCGGTGGCCCCGCCCCGGCCGTACCTCCGGGATGGGCGGGTCGGCCGGCAGGCGGTGGGACCCCCGGGTTTCGAGCCTCGCGGGTTAGGCATTTGAGGGCCGGGCTGAAGCACGCGCGGGAAAGGACGCTCGGAAAGATGGCGACCAAACTTGGGCGGGCGGTGGCAGGCGGGAGCCCTTTCCCACCCCGGCCCGGGCCGCGGACGTCCGCGCGGAGGGGCGCTGTCTGAGCACATTGTGGGGCGGTGGACGCGCCCAGTCGAGGGTGGGTGGGTGATGAGCGGTTGTGGGACGAGGGGTATCTCATTGACAGATGAGAGCCCATCCTCAGACCACCGGTTTTTCATGTAGAAGTCAGAATCGTTGAATCAGTCATTAACAATTTAAGGCTGAGAACATCCACCTGGCATTTGAAATGGGTCAAAATTACACGTGACTCCTTTAGGTGTGTGTTTTACGTATCCCACAAAGCAGAAACATGAGTGCCCTACCTAGCAGCCATTACTCCACCAAAAGTCCTACAAAACTTTATCGTGAGGTCAAAAGTATAAAGAAAGAGTATTAATACCACTGAAGTAAGCTCTCAAACCTGTGCTACTTTGAGTAATATGTGATCTTCTCCTTCTAGGTTGATGGAGAGGATTTCTAGTTGCTCAGGCCAAAAACTTTATATCATCCATAACTCGTCTCATACTCTCATTTTTACTTACAATCTGTCAAGAAAGCTTGTTGTTTGTACCTTCAAAAGAGAACAGACTGGGCAACATAGCAAGATCCTGTCCCTATCCCCCCCCCCCCAAAAAAAAAAAAAATTTGGTGTGGTGGTGCGTGCCTATAGTCCCAGGTACTCTGGAGGTTAAGGCCGGGAGTTTGAGGTTAAGTGAGCCATCATCAGGCCACTGTACTCCAGCTTGGGTGACAGAATGAGACCTGTTTGCAAAAAAAAATTCTCAGTCTTTCCTACCTTGCTCTTTTTCCTTCTCCCTATGACACCTCCCACCTTGTAACAATCTTTATAGTCTACAGTCAGCCCTCCGCATCCATGGGTTCTGTTTCTGGATTCAACTGACCACAGATGGAAATATGGAAAAAAGAAACAACACAAACAATTTAAAAATACAAATAAAAACCAATACAGTGTAACAGCTATTTACATAGCACTTACATTGTATCATAAGTAATCTAGAGATAATTTAAAGTATACAGGAGGATATATGTGGGTTATGTGCAAATACTATATACCATTTTATATAGGATACCTGAGAGGATATTGGTATTGGTGGGGGTCCTAGAACCAATCCCCCTCGAACACTGAGGTACGTCTGTATTTATTTGATATGTTTATCTTTTAGTGTCTGCTTTCCCAGTAGAAGCTGGGATTTTTGTCTCTTTTGTTCAACTGATGTATCCCAAGTGCCTAGAATAAATTAAAAATTTAAAAATTCCCTGAGATTAAAAGAAACTAAAGCAACAAAAAAGACCTTTTTTTTATTTTAAATTTTCTCTTGGTTTCTGCTTCAGTTAACCATAAGATCTTTATCTGCATCATACCATAAGCACTTTTATTTTCCAGTTACTCTGAATACAGTGATAACCGTTTACTTGATATTTAATGCAGTGTTTTTACCAATGATACTCTACAATCCTGTTTCACTGAATGAAAATAGCATGATAGAGTAGAGGAAGATTACATAAAAGACTATTCTAAAAATTTCCTAGAACAAACAAAAAAACCCCAAATTCCAGAACTTGATATATGTACTTGTAAGCCTTCCTTTGAATTACAAATGTAGTAACCTTGTGTGAATGCCTGAAATAGTAAATTTTCTATCATTCATCTATCATGTAAACATTTATTTTCAGATTTTTCATATTTTGTAACAACAGCACGTGATTGAATAGCATGATCTACTTTCAGTTGCTATAGCTATTCATACACACTTATCAGTTAAAAAAAAGTCAATTAAGGACACAATGCCATTCATTTGAATGACACTTTTGTGAGTGTGTGTGTGTGTGTGTGAGAGAGAGAGAGAGAGAGAGAGAGAGAGAGACAGAGAGACAGGAGCTCACCGTGTCACCCAGGCTGGAGTGCAGTGGCTTAATCTGTGTGATCTCGACTTACTGTAACCTCTGTTTTCTGGACTCAAGTGATCCTCCCACCTCAGCCTCCCAAGGAGCTAGGACTGCAAATGCACACTACCACACTTGGCTAATTTTTGTATTTTTGGTAGACAGGGTCTCGCTATGTTGCGCAGCCTGGTCTGAAACTCCCGGGCTCATACAATCCGCCCTCCTGGCTTCCCAAAGTGCTGGGGTTACAGGCATGAGCCTGTATGATCTGGCCTGGATGATACTTTTTGTAGAGTATGTGTGCGTAATTATTTTGCTCAATGTTATATTCATAGCAGTCTCTTTATACATTAAATTTATCCTTTCTGATTTAAAACAATTTAAAGCTGCAGATCACATGTTACAATCTGAATTTTTTATAAAATTAAATAGACTTGTGCCGGGCGCGGTGGCTCAAGCCTGTAATCCCAGCACTTTGGGAGGCCGAGGCGGGTGGATCACGAGGTCGAGAGATCGAGACCATCCTGGTCAACATGGTGAAACCCCGTCTCTACTAAAAATACAAAAAATTAGCTGGACATGGTGGCGTGTGCCTGTAATCCCAGCTACTCAGGAGGCTGAGGCAGGAGAATTGCCTGAACCCAGGAGGCGGAGGTTGTGGTGAGCCGAGATCGCGCCATTGCACTCCAGCCTGGGCAACAAGAGTGAAACTCCGTCTCAAAAAATAATAAATAAATAAAATAAAATAAAATTAAATTAAATTAAATAGACTTGTTTATAAAAACATTGACAGTGCGTTTCATCAATGTCAATCTGGAGTTTTTAATTACAATGATGCCAAATGATATTTTTCTAAAGTCATTATGATATATCTGCACTGTCCTGAACACTGTTACCAAATAAAATCTTATTCCAAAACAAGGACAAGGGTAAAAAATAGACACTGTTCCTAATTTATTCACATAATATACAGTGAGAATACTGATAAGAGTAAAAGCAACTATTATAGTCCAGAAAAAACTGTTCTGTACTCCTATTAGTCCATAACAAGTGGAAACATTACACCAAAGACAATAGGAAGGAACACTTCGTTCTAACCAACTGCTAAATAGCCTTGAGCTCATTTAACTGCCACATTGGCCTGGTTCTGCAATCTTTTACTTAAATAAATGTTCCTTAAAAATGTTAAAGCAAATGGATTTTCCTGGTGCCTGCCACCACTCCAGGCTAATTTTTGTATTTTTAGCAGAGATGGGGTTTTACCATGTTGGCCAGGCTGGTCTCAAATTCCTGACCTCAAGTGATCCGTCTGCCTCGGCCTCCCAAAGTACTGGGATTACAGATGTGAGCCACCACACCAATCTATTAATTTTTTATTTTATTTTATTTTATTTTTGAGACAGAGTCTCACTCCGTCGCACAGGCTCCAGAACAGTGGCGCCATCTTGGCTCACGGCCACCTCCCTCTCCTGGGTTCAAGTGATTCTCCTACCTCAGGCTCCTGAGTACTTGGGATTACAGGCACCCACCACCACACCCAGCTAATTTTTGCACTTTTAGTAGAGAGAGGGTTTCACCATGTTGGCTAGGCTGGTCTTGAACTCCTGACCTCAGGTGATTGCCCACCTGAGTCTCCCAAGGTGCTAGGATTACAGGCATGAGCCACCATGCTTTTTAAAATCTGCTTTCCACAGTTTGATAGCAGTTCTTTCTTACATTTAGGGATCATAGTGTATGGAGTTAGAGTCGAATTCAAATCCAAATTCTGCTGCGTAGTTAGCTGACTGTGAAGAAAGTTCTTTCTAAGCCTGTCTTTTCTTCTAGTTTAATGAGAACCAATAGTATTACCTACCTGTGAGGTCTGTTGTGAGAAAACTAAAAGAGAACTCAAGTAAAATTGTTAGCCCCAGGCCTGGCACAGGCTGTGCTGGTAAAAGCTAGCTATTATCATTACACAAGCATATAATTAAACTCATTGTCCTACATTTGTAATACTGAGAAAATGACTCATAAAAGGCCCCAAATGGGATGGTATGAGCTCTACATCAATATATTGTAATGTTTAAATAAATGAACATTTTTAAAGGTGCACTAGCACTTCTTCTACCTCCACAATATGCCAGGCACAATTCCAGGCAACAAAGGAAGCTAAGAGAAATAAGGTCCAGACCTAGAACAGCTTTACAGTTGAATGACAAGAGACATACGTTTAATAGATAACTACATTCAAGTTAGCATGACCACACTTCCTGATTTATCAGGAATCTGTTGTGCTGGCTTAATAGTTATTTGTGTCTTCTTTTATGCTCAGTTGTGTCCAGGTCTGCTGATAAATTAGATGATCATTCCTAACTAGGTGTTAGGGATGCTTGGGATACAACAGAAGAAACCATCAGTTCTGTGTAAAGCTACAGGGACTTAAATTGCTCCTTTAAAGGAACATCTGGGCCAGGCACAGTGGCTCACGCCTGTAATCCCAGCACTTTGGGAGGCTGAGATGGGAGGATCACCAGAGGTCAGGAGTGCGAGACCAGCCTGGCCAACATGGTGAAACCCTGCCTCTACTAAAAGAAAGTACAAAAATTAGCCAGGCATGGTGGCAGATACCTGTGATCCCAGCTACTAGGGAAGCTGAGGCAGGAGAATTGCTTGAACCCAGGAGGTAGAGGTTGCAGTGAGCCAAAATCACGCCACTGCACTCCAGCCTGGGCAACAGAATAAGACTCCATATGGGGACAAAAAAAAAAAAAGAAAGAAAGAAAAGGAACATCTGAATGGGCCATGTGAATTAAAAGAAAGAGGAAAGGCAGAGGGAAGATTTTTGTTATTATTCTGAGTCAGAACTACAAAGCTTTCTATACTTGTGCTATAAACATTAACTAATAGCAAACTTACTAAA